TGGGGGAAGCTTCTGGCAGCTTCTCACAGAAGCTGCCTCTGTAGCCTGCCTGGCCCCCATTATCAACACCTTGCCACACAAACCCAATACAGATGGTCAAATTCGGGTTTAGTTCAGAAATGTACAGCTAGCTGAATCAGTGCCTCTGAAGACAGAAGCCTAGTGTGTAAATATCAATGCCTGCCCAATTCTTTTTTCCTTTGTTGTATCTTTCAGATTTAAAAGTTCAAAGGAATAAATCACAGCAAATGGGTAGGATGGGTGGGCTGTTTTTAACACTAAGACAATAGTTACAATCATGGCACTTTCAATTCTGTAGAGATACTTGTTTTGATGTATTAAGAAACGGAAGTGCCTGAATGCAGATATCCTTGCTGCAAGGCAAGCAGAAAAGTGACGTTCAGACATAACGCTTTGTCCTTGGCCAGGTTAAGTGCTATCTGCTGCAATATCTGCCCTTTGAAAGCAAAAGCTAATGTTTTGTTCCAGAAGACATTTCAACAAGAAGTTAATCACTTCTATTTCAAACGGATACGTTTATTATTGTAGACATCATAGCTCCACAGCAAGAGATAAATGCAGCAAGGGGCTGCTAGAGCCTTCCTTTTGTAAGCAGTAGACAGCACAAATGTTTTCTGAAGGTTACATGAACTGAAACCAAAATTGAAAGTAAATAAATTGGAAGGCTGAAAACTTTATTGAACAAACAGCAATCACAAATAGTATTATGCAGTCCTCCCTTTCAAGGAAAAACAGCTGGCCAAGTTTCCTGACCTGGTCATTAGAATGTGATGCATCACAGCACGTGTGACAGACATTTTATATAAAACAAAATGATGTGCCTGAGTTTGAGACCTTGCATGACAAAAACTACGGAGATTAATACTTGACACTTTTCAGAGAACTGTCCCAGAGTATTTCTTTTTTGCAACCCTAAACCTCATTATTTGGGGTACCCCAAGTCCTATTAAATGAGTGAGTAATCCCTCTCATATTTAATCAAAGCAGGAGCACTTTAATGTAGCAAAGCCAAACAATTTGAACATCATACACACAAAGAGCATGATAACGTGTAGCGAGTCTGATTACTCTATCGACTGACCAATAGGACAGTCATATTTTTCAAAGAAAATGTTTTCTTTAAACAGAAGATTACATAAATTCCACAATTTAAGACTCCAGCAAGTTGACTGCTTCAAAGAAAAACGCATCCAACTGCAGATGTCCACACAAGACAAAGTACTTACTAACCTTTCTTTTTTTTTTCTGATAGGTTCTGGAACATAAGATAGTGCAAGTATAGAGAGTTGGTGAAGTCCTCAAACCATCAACTTGCAAGCTTTTCCTTAAATTTCAACACATAAACACATCAAGTTTTATTATAAAGTGTATTTAGGCACTTAAAATCTCAGCTTCATGTTTCCTGAGATTTCAAAAATGCCCAACTTTGTCAGGTGCTTGCTTAATTGTCATACGACTTCAGTACCGCTTGTGTACACAGACACATGTATATTCCACCAAAAGATCTTTAAGTATCTGTACTGGGTGTCTGTGTAAAAACAAATATTCTACAAGGAAGCAATAAAATTATTTAGAAACCCTGGAATACATTCCAGTCACTCAACAGCAGATAGTATTTCATGCCTGGCCATTTCACAGGCAACAAAATAATGAAATAAATTAATTGTGGAGGGTAATTTGTTATGCTGTCATTTCAGACACCTTCTTCACCTTCTTAACATCGGAAGCAAATTATTCCCCTACATGCATTCCACAGTGGCAATGGAATGTAATATGATTGCTGTGAAGTCAGGAAAATAAAATTATAAAATATACTAGTTTGGCAAATAAAGACATTTTAATCATCTCAAGCAAGAACTTTATTTTTAAAAATCTAATTTATAAAGCTATTCTAATGAGATAAAATTACAGATGAGTAAACTTGGCTTTCAAAGATTGCCGGATGGTTAGGTTGGTCTAATCACTCTATCATGTCAGTCTGCCTCTAAAATGTATTAATCAAATCACAGTGAATTAGCCAGCTTGAAGTCTTAGTGATGATTACAAGCCATTGCACTGGAATATACTTTTATGAAATAGATGAAAACAGACTTAATATAAATCCCTATGAACAAAGTTTCCCACTACATTAAAGCTGTTAGCATTTTCTGATGAAGAATGTCAGAGATTTTTCTGTTTTATGTTGGAAAGCTTAGGAACGGACTGAAACCAAAGTACCTTGGTCTGAGAAGCACATGGTGCTGAGAAACAGACTTTCTTGGTTTGCCAAATGTCTCTTTTTACAGGTTGGTACATAAGGGCTAGGCATGCACACATAAGAACATGGACTTTCCAGCTTACAGCTACTACTACTGCTTTCTGCTGTTTGGTAGTAGTTAAATAAGTAAAACATTTAGGTTACTCTATAATCAAGACTATAGAGGAGAAGGGATTACAATACCAAAGCAGCTAGAATACTAATACTTACCTCTGCTTGTAAGGAGGTCAGGAGCACACTTGGGATTATAAATTGCATATTTTCATAAAGTAGCATAATAGCAAATTAGTCATGCTTAGTGTGTCACTGTTTCTGTACAAAAATGTCCTCTCCAATGGTTGTGCACATCTAGAAAAACGCAAAGCCTACAGAAGGTGAAGAAGGCACTGTTTCCACTAATACAGAGTTGCAGTGCACTATATCTTCATTAAGAGGTTGAATTATTATCATGCTTATTAATTAATAGTTAATATGATAAATAATTGTTATGCTTCTATCAACAGCAACACTTTCTGTTTGGATGTACATTTACTACATTTATAAATCTGCAAGTCCTTCAGCAAAGAAAACATTTACCTCAAATCCTTTGTAAGCCCCTGTACAGAATATGTACGGTGCTTATACAAAACCCTTAACAATGGAATAGTTTCCTTATTTGCAAGCATGTCTCGATAGAGCTGAGAAAAGTCGTCATCGTGAAAACTTTGTAAACATGCAGACGCAACACAGGCTCTGCCTTTTTATCTCACTTCACTAAAGAAGACAACAAATCTCCCTTTGATCTTATGCTTAAAGGCGTTAGCTTTATCCACTCAGTTACAGCACCCAGATCAAACCTTCTGCCCTGCTATGAAAGGAGCCACAAGCTTTGTAA